CAAAGTTATTACAAATGTACTATTTATCATCCGGTGTATTAATAATGTAAGGCAAGGTATCATACAAGGTATAAACAATAGACTCATTACACTACATAACAAAAAAAAATAACATTCTTTTAACCCATGGTCCACCAGGCAGCCATGAAAATAAATCCCATTCCATATCCTTCCAGGTTTGTGCTGGGACGTGGGCCAATTTTCTAATTTCCTTTACAAGTTCATTTACAGCTTTTCTTTCTGTTGTGATTTAACCCAGTGGGCAGCTAAACAACACACAGCTGCTCGCTCACCTCCCCCCCTCCTTCTCTGGGACGGTGAGAGAGAAATGGGAAAGTGAAGCCTGTGAGTTGAGATAAAAACAAGAAAATAATAATAATAACAATAATGATGATAATAGTACTACTAGTAATAATGTGTACGAAACAAGTGATGTACAATGCAATTGCTCACCACCTGCTGTCCGATGCCCAGCTTAACCTCAAGCAGTCCGGCCCTCCTCCCAGCTTGCCTGCTGGCAGGACAGTAAGAAGCTGAAACGTCCTTGGCTTGGTGTAAGCACTGCTCTGCAACAATTAAAACATCAGCATATTATTAGCATTCTTCTCATCCTAAACCAGAACATAACATTCTACCAGCTACTAGAAAGAAACACCCTTTTTTTATCAATCTTTAAACAGCAATTACTAAAGCTAAATTTTCCACAGACTTCTCCTTCTTGTGCTAGTAAATAATCCAAAGCTAGGCAATTTTGATACAAAGCAGTTCTCATCTTGGTATTTTTCTTTGCAATTAATCAAAGTGCATCTCCGGTTTTATTTATAATTATTTCTATTACCGCTAATAACCTAATTATTCTATTAAGTATATATACTGGGGTCCTATAGTCCCAGGATCTGTCTTCTGCTCACGTAGCTGGATCATAATAGGCAAACACCTTCAGGGTCAATTCAGGCTTGTGTTACCGTTCGGCCTGTCAGGGTGATCCAGCTCCTGGAAAACGAATCACAATTTTATATAGGTTAAAAAAAGGTTCTTATGTTATTTTCTCGGGACAACCTGACCTTAGTGTGGGAGAAGTCCGGCCGAGGCCCTCTCACTCGGCAGTCAATACCCATAGGGGTTGCCTCCCTCGGTAGACCATGCACACCGCAGTGGAGGGTCCTGCCCCGGTCTTGCCTTCTCCCTTTCCTCCCTTCAGGCTTGTCCCCTTTATTTGGCATCCTTAGTTCATGCAGAGCCTCGTTGCCAGAATATTAGTTCTTCCTTAGCTTGAGTTTCAGTTTCCCAGGAGCGGACTCAACCCTCCAAGTTTCACGGGTCCTTTTATTCTGGATGCGTAGGTCCCTTTCTGAGGTTCTCACAGCTGTTTCAGTAGTCAGTAAAACAAGGTACAGTCCCTCACATCGGGGGTTCAGTGATTCTTCCCTCCCGTGGCTGCTTGTTCAAACACTTTCTTTTTTATCTTCTGACAAGTTAAATAACAGTTATCTAATTTGCTTTGCCGTATGGCCCCTTCCAGGTTCCTGTAGCAGGATTCATCTGATAGCCTTTCAGGTTGATACAGATTTGACTACAGATACCAGGGTTTTGGCATTCATCACTATCTCCACAGTTTCCCAGCTGGACAGTCACATTCATTTATGTTGCATTCCTTCAGGGGCTCATCACCCCAGTCCTTGCAGTCTCTCTGCTGGTTACACACTTTATTGATATCTATGCATTCTCCACTTCTGCACTTGAATTTGCCAGGTCCAGAGCACTGAATAACATTGTTACAGTTTGCTTCATCAGTGCCATCCAGACAGTCTCTCACACCACTGCACCGCCTACTCCTATGGACACAGTTCCCATCTTCACATTTGAACTGGTCTGGCCTGCAGGTCCGAGAAGGGCATTTAATTTCATCACTTCCATCCTTGCAATAAGGATCTCTGTCACATCGCCACAATTCTCTTCATCTACTCCCCTGTCACAGTCTTTTTCACCATCACATTTCCACGACACTGGGATACACTGGGTTGAATGAGGACCACAGCTGATTTCATTTACCCAGCATGTTCTCATATGACACAGCTCAGCACTCTTGTCAGACCCATCTTCACAGTCTGGATCCCCATCACACTGCCATCTGTTTGGCACACACTGACCACCGTTGCACACAAAGTCAGATTCAGCACACATCTTCTTCACACAAGCACTCTCATCACTGCCATCTGAGCAGTCTTCACATTTTGCTCTAGCACCGTCGGCAGCAGTGCACAGGCAGGCGAAGGCGAGCAGCAGGCAGAGCGCCCTGCACCGTCACCTGTGTCACTTATACTACTCCTATTACCCATGCTGTTAGTGTCAGTGGCATCCTCCTTTTCTTTTTGCCACTGACCATTCACCACAAATGGATGAGACACATGATTACTAGTTAGGAAAGGGAGTGTAACGTCTGCTATACGGCTGCAGGCAGTGCCAGCTGCAACCTTAGAAGCGGTTTGTGAAAGAGCCTGCCGGTGGTCATTTGGCAGTGTAATCTGCGTCTCTGCACTCCTGCCCTGCAATAGAGCTAAGTTGTCATTAGTAATAGTTATAACACCGATCTGGGGACTAATAGTCTTTTTTGCATTGCAAGATAAACCTTTTATAAAAAGAATGCCAGAGTGAAGAAGCACAGCTGCTGCTGCCTCCATGGTTCCGTCAGACAGGCTGCAGGGTCCTGATGTCCGCCCCTTTGCTCTGTGCCGACTCGCCACACGGTGAGGGTCAGCTACCGGTGTCCACTGACGCCTCTGGTCTCCCGTAGCAACTCGATCTCGGATGTTCCGCAATTACTTTAATTTCCCCGCGTTTTGCAGCTTCTGTCAGGTCTATTCTGTGTCTCTCAGAGCCGTCCGTGGCTCTGCAGCGTCTCAGAGCTGTCTCCGTCCAGCGGTAGTTCCCTCTGTAGTGTCTCGGGTCTCCCAGCACCGCTCCAGTCTCTCGGCCTGTTCAGGTCTCAGTGAGTCCAGGTCTCGGCCTGTGCGGGCCTCATATGTTGCAGGAAGCATGTCATATCACGCTCCTGCCTTTTTCTTGTCACAGTCAAAACATTTAAGAGCAAAAATAGGATACACAAGATACACAAGATACACCGGGCCCATATATTAGGCACCACCACTCAAAACTTGGATAAAACAGCACTTCTTTTCAGTCTGTCATACACTCCGTTCGTCTCCGCCCACTCCCCTTGCAGAGAGTACGGAAACACGGATCGGAACTCTGCACTCGCTATGCAGGGACACTGCATCTCACTCACACAGCACAATCGCACACGGAGGCCTCCAGCACATCTCATTCATACCACAGGAATATAATTTACAATGATAACCAACCAAACAAGTATTGTCTCTGACTGTGTTCTTCGTGAAGTGACTTGGAACACTTTGTTTCAAACCCTTACACTTACACAAATACTTTCAACACAAAATACATACATAAGTACACATACAATTATTAACACTCCAGTTAGTATCCCTCCAGCAGCCGAAAACATACTGTTTGTCTGCAGTTTCAGGAGATCTTTGCTCCTGCGGTGAGCAGCTGAGAGTGGAGTCCCCTCCGAGCAAAACACTCAGGGTGCACCTAGGGGCGTCCGCGCCACAGCCGATCCCGCAGCCGAGCAGAGTGTCTCCTGCCTGGCTCGCCAAAATGACTCACAGAAAGCTGACTCCACAATCAGTAAGATTGTAAAGTAGGTATGTTTACTCAGTGCTGGGTGGCACGGGGCGGGTAGTCCCACCAAAGTCGTGCACGCCTAACGTGGCAACTTGCTTTAGTAAAGAGTTACAGATACATGAACATTCCTATACATATGCATAACCTGTCCCTTTGTGAACAGTCCTCCTTATCTCAGACCCCTTGATTAAAGTCTGAACCATGAGGTTGTTTTTGATCTGGTTCTCGGCTCCGAGAGGCTCCTGTTATCTGGAGGTATAAGTGCAGCACAGGCACAAATGTAGCACATAGTCATTCTTAATCAATTGCTCTCTAATTTCTAATTCCAATGTTTCAGCTTGCTCTTTTCTGGATCCACGGGTATTCTATTAATGTTTAAAGCCTGACAGACCCCGTCCTCCGTGGACCAAATATCAATCAAAATACATGGGGTCTTAAGGGTTCTTTTGGTCATTCTATCATATAATACTGGATCATTTTCAATTTACTCTTTAATTTTCTGGGGCCCCTATTGTTCCTATTTCCAATCATTATTCATAATGGACTTTCTGGTCGTATATCTGGTAATTTGCTCCCTTCTTACTGGTCCTTGGTCTTTGATTTTATCTGACCCATCTGGGAATTTTACTTGTGGCAATTCCCACAGCCCTTGGTGAGTGTGAGAGTGTCTTGCAGGGGGTTTAGGACCTATCACCCACCCACGTATCCCCGAATTCTATAGGAACCAGTTATATAGAATCACTCCCTTCACCGGCCAAGCCCCCCCACAGGAGATTAGAACCGGTGAGAAAACAAAAAGACCTCCACGCTGACTTTAGAAGTCTCAGTTACACTCTCACACACACAGACACTGGCAACCGCACCTTTACCCAACCAAACGCTATCCGCAAACACTTACGACTCCGTCATCTTCGTCTGGATCTTCGCGCGCAGAATTACAGGCCAAAAAAACAGCAATGCTGCAGCCAGCAAGTGAGCTCAAAAAAATCAAATTCTTTGCTTACCTTTATTCAGGTTCAGGATGGCATTAGTCCTGACCCAACTCAAACAGGAGCCACCAAATGGTGAGGCGCCTCTCCTAGATCAAATCAGAATTCAGGAACCATAGCCATCCCGGACGAGCCTCCAAATTGTTATAAATGGCTCAGTCTTCAAAACAGGATTAAATAAAAAAATAGGATTTATTAAAGAATAGAGGTAAGCAAACAGTGCTGGGTGCGTCCTGGTGGAGCGGAGACTCCCGGTGCACCCAGCACTGTTTGCTTACCTCTATTCTTTTAATAAATCCTATTTTTTTTATTTAATCCTATTTTGAAGACTGAGCCATTTATAACACATTCATTTCCTAAACCCATACACAGCTATTTGGATTTTAATTCCCCAGGTCCTCCAAATGTAATGAATTTCTATTTAATTTCAAAAGGCATAGTACACCATAGTTGTAGATGTGCTCTCTCAGACTAAAATAACAGAGGCTATTGTGTAGAGGTTAATGGGAATTGTTACATGCAATATGTGTATGCCTAAGGTTATCATCTTCTCTGTATTTTGTTACTTGGCTTGTATGACAATTTTGATAATTTATTTGTAATGCTTCTGACAGGTTTGTTACAACTTACCTTTTATTTTTATTCAATTATTAATATTACATAGGTGGAAAAGTTTAAAAAATACTTGAAGCAAATTAAGTGCATCGTACAGTTATGCCCTGCTGCAGAATCATGCACACTCATAAATTTTTGTGTAATTTCTCTTTGCAATCCACCTCTGACCAAAGTTCCACCATTTCCCTGTGTAGGACAATTCAGTTTCCCACTTTTTTACAATTACAAAGCTTTTCTACAATCTAACCAAATTCTTGTTTGTTGCTATCAAAGTTAGTTTCTTATTGTCTCTCTCATGACAACAGAGAACAGTTGATCACTCCTATCTATAAACAGCTTTTTTGAAGAAGAGCTGTTACTATGTCCTCTCCATCTGTCTTTTTTCCATATTAGACAAGTCCAAGTCCTTCAGTCTTCCTCTAGGGACAACATTTACTAAATCTCTTATCATTCTTCTTGTTTACCTCCAGGGCAGAAGACAGAATATGACAGAGAAAGAGATTAACAAAGGTTTAAAGTAATGTTGAATAGGAATTTTCATCAAAATACAATGGACTGATCAAATACTTACTGAACTACAAAAGACAACATTTTAGAACAGGCTTCCAGGGTCTGTTCTCAGCATAGGCATTTGTATGAGTACTCAGTCACAAAATGAAAACAAATCGAGTATTACTGCTACCTAAGAGTGCTCCTTCCTTTTGCCACAATATGCATAATTCATCAGAGAAGAGCTGTGTTTTGGCAGTGAGGGAAGGTCTACATGAAACTCAACCTCCAAAATGTTAAAGGTTCCACAATAGGAAGGGTAAACGACATACCTGAGAGATACTGCATTAGGTCCATAGATCTCTCTCATTGCTGTCAAATCAGCTTCCAGCTGTGGGTGCTTATGAAGTTCTCCATCATAGCTAACCTACCAGAAAAAAAAAAAAAATCTAGGATTTCTTATTTATTACATTACTGGCACCTGATCTAGGCTCTTGAAAAATCTTCCTGCAAAATATACTGCATAAAGATTTCTTAACACCGTGCTCAGAAAGGACACTGTTGATAACCTGAAGCACTGCGGTGGTCTAGCTCTTCTAAGCAATGAGATTTGCAAAGCAGGTACCTCTGTATCAAAACTCCAGAGGGTCCAACTCCTGTTTGTGGAAGATAAGCTGCAAAGAATCCATTCCTCTGTCCTATTTCATATTGGGGGCTGTGCTGGGCCTCTTGTCACTTGTGCATTTTAAAACTGGTAGGTGGATAATCAGATCTCCCTGGTTATACCATCCCAGTCTAACCACTACAGGACAAGGTTTACTCCCTCTTGCGTTGTCATGCTGTCATATTTTAGACAAAGAACGGCCTGGGCTCAAGAAGAGAAGCACATGACTATTCTACACAAAAAGGGTCTCAGCATCTAAGTTATATTTTCAATCTACTCATTTGCTGCATTTGAAACCACTAGTGCAATGACATCAGATTTAAAAAGAAAAATAAAGAACACTTTTCCATTCTGAGTATTTTTTACCAGAGAAGGTCTAAAGAATGGTTTGGGTTGGAAGGGACCTTAAAGATCATCTAATTCCACCCCCCCTGCCATGGGCAGGGACACCTACCACTAGACCAGGTTGCTCAAAGGCATGTATTTAGATATCATTTTAAAATGCGTTTGAAACATGAATATGAAACGTGTATATGAAATATATTTAGATATCAGTCACATTTTCTTCAATCTCTACATGAAAAGTGGATACTGTTAGTCCTACGAGGGGCGGCTGAAGGAGCTGGGTTTGTTCAGCCTGGAGAAAAGGAGGCTCAGGGGCGACCTTATCGCTCTCTACAGATACCTTAAAGGAGGCTGTAGTGAGGTGGGGGTTGGCCTGTTCTCCCACGTGCCTGGTGACAGGATGAGGGGGAATGGGCTTAAGTTGCACCAGGGGAGTTTTAGGTTAGATGTTAGGAACTTCTTTACTGAAAGGGTTGTTAGACACTGGAACAGGCTGCCCAGGGAGGTGGTGGAGTCACCATCCCTGGAAGTCTTTAAAAGACGTTTAGATGTAGAGCTTAGGGATATGGTTTAGTGGGGACTGTTAGTGTTAGGTTAGAGGTTGGACTCGATGATCTTGAGGTCTCTTCCAACCTAGAAATTCTGTGATTCTGTGATTCTGTGATTATGTTAGTGTTTACACTATAAAGCAAAACTTGTGAGCTTGTCTAGTTGGATTGTATGAAGTCAAATTAAATAATATCCTCCTCTCTTCTATCAGAACCAAAATACGTTATTAGTCTTGTAATAGCCTATTAAAAGTCTATTAATACTTTTTCATTACGCAATATGCTCCTGATTACGTGAGTCTAATACTGCTTCTTTACAGCTATCAGAATGACAATAAGTCCAAAAAAGTCGATGAACTCCCGAGATTTGGGCAGATTTGGAAATGAGAGTAGCATTTGGCTTGTACTTTTGACAAATTCAGAGAGCAAAACACAAGAGTGCAATTTATCCCTTTAGACACATAAATATATCCTTATACATTAATTCCTGCTGAGAATTCCTGCTATTACAGAACCATTTCTAACTGCAGTACTATTTCTTAATTTCATACATCCAAATCTGCAGGACCTCAGTGCTGTGACACTTAGGTTCTGATATCTAGCGCTGTACATTTCATTATGTATCTAACTAAATAAATTTCAACAGAATTAAAATAAAACCCAACTGATCACTTTTTACTTATGAAAATTAGCAAAGAATAATTTGGTTATACCTAGAATTCTTCAAACATAAGACACAGAATTAATCAGTAAAGCATGTACACACATATCAGATTTAATAAATGACTGAGTCCCAAATAGTATTACAATCAAAGTTTATAAATTATTAAATGTATAGAGGTAAGCAAACAGCGCTGGGTGCTCCAGGAGTCTCTGCTCCACCAAGATGCACACAAGTTACATCAGGCGGATGATTTTTATGCTCCTAGGCTAATACATATTCATCACCACTTTTGGAAAAGACAGGGTTATTATAATTAGTTCCCGGAATCCGAACTCTCCCACTGGCGCATGTGTATCAGTCTCCAGTGGTCCCTCTGGGGGTCGCTCGTACTGAAGGCTCATAGTCTTCCTCCCAGGCTTGTCCTTCTTAGTCTTCCTCCTATCCTTGTCCTTCTCCTTTGTCCATCTTGGCCGGATGTCAGAGACTTGCGTAGAGTCCCATGCAATAGTCACAATAGTTAGCAGTTATTCTGAACCCCCCCCAGATATCAGAGACTCAAGGTTGACCCTTCAAGCCTTCTATTGTCACAAATTGCTGAAACATTCCTTACAGTCCCTCATCTTCTTTTTAATATTCTCAATTCGTGTCTCTTCTTCAACTTCACTCAAATTACTAACCCACCACTTGGGTTCGACCAGGCCAGCTACCCCGGGCCAACTTTCAGTTCCCCCCCTGGTCCTCCACAAACCCAGCAATTACTAAGGTTAAAGGCCTTGGCCACTTCCTCCCCCAGAGTGAAAAACTTATTCCTCCATTCTTGCCCATGGCTCAATTGCCCCTGTAAAAACAATACCAGGAAGTATGGCATTTCTTATCCTTTAAACGCCATCCAATCTTGAGGGTGTGGGAAACGCCTTCAATCAAGGGGTTAGGCCCACTTTCAGGGTTGATTTGGGCTTGTGTTACCGTTCAGCCTGTCGGGGAGATCCAGCTCATAGAAAACTAATCACAATGTAATATGTTTTGTTTGTTTGTTTGTTTTTAAAAAAAAAAAAAAAAAAGGTTCAGTCAATACCCATAGGGGTTGCCTCCCTCGGTAGACCATACACACCTGCCCCAGTCTTGCCTTCCACCTTTCCTCCCTTCAGGCTTGTCCTCTTTATCTGGTGCCCTTAATTTATGCAGAGCCTCGTTGCCAGAATATTAGTTCTTCTTTAGCCTTAGTTTCAGTTCCCCAGGAGCAGACTCAACCCTCCAAGTTTCGGTAGTTACTGGTCCTTTTATTCTGGATGCGTGGGTCCAACCCCTTTCTGCTGTTCTCACAGCTGTTTCAGTGGTAAGTAAAACAAGGTACAGTCCCTCCCATTGGGGGTTCAATGATTCTTCCCTCCAGGTTTTTATTAAGACCTTGTCTCCTGGTTGTATCTTATGAACAGCATATCCTAAAGGTGGTGTTTGAGCCATCATTCTGATTTCTCTTAGCTCTTGTAATCTCCTTCCAATAGTAATTATATATTTCTGGATGATCCTCAACTACATTGTTCCCTAGAGTCATCCCTTGAGAAGAAGGCATACCATATAACATTTAATATTGCGATAATCCAGTCTCACTGTGTGGTTTAGTTCTTATGTTTAAAAGTGCCAATGGTAAGCATTTCGTCCAGGGCATTTGTGTCTCAATCATTAACTTAGCCAATTGTTGTTTTATTGTTTGATTCAGTCTTTCTACTTTCCCTGAGCTTTGTGGGTGCCACGGAGTATGGTATTCCCACTGAATACCTAAAGATTGACATAATAATTTTATTACTTTAGAAGTAAAGTGTGTGCCCTGATCAGAATCAATGTACTGGATTATCCCATATCTAGGTATCAGGTGTTCTAATAGAATTTTTACTACCATTTGTGCCGTAGCTCGTGCTACGGGATAAGCTTCCACCCATTGTGTTAAATGATCTACTATTACCAATAGCTATTTCATCCTCCCTACTTTGGGCAATTCATTGAAATCAACTTGTACTTTCTCGAAAGGTCTATAAGCTGTTTTCCTCCCTCCCATAGCTGCTTGTTGAAACACTTTCTTATTTATCTTCTGACAAGTTAAACAACCTCATGTAATTTGCTTTGCTCTTTCAAAAATCCCAATGCAACCAAATTAAGTAAATGATCACTTAACGCCTTTGTACCCCAATGTGTTTGTGCATGTAAATGTCCCAATATTTGCCTTGCATAATCTTTTGGCAATATCTCTCACCTGTCTGGCAGTGTCCATTTTCCTTGTTCTAACTTAGCCCCTGTTTTCTCCAGTTTTGTTTGTTCTTCAGGGGTAAACTTCTTTTCTCCTTCCTCTCGCCTTTCTTCCTCCCGTACTATATTAATTTTAGCAACCTGAGTCCTCAAGGCTGTTTCGTGGGCTTCTTTATCTGCTAGATTATTTCCTCTGGTTCAGTAATCTAATCTGTTTTGGTGTCCTTTCACATGTACCACTGCTATCTCCTTTGGTTCTCTTAATGCCCTTAAAATTTTTGTTATTAATTCCTGATGGTCTGAACTTGGGTAGACCTGTGCGGTGTCAGGAGTTGGACTTGATGATCCTTAAGGGTCCCTTCCAACTCAGGATATTCTATGATTCTATGATTCTATGATGTATAAGATTCCTCCCTTGAGGAATTAAACTTCTTTCTTCCCAAATTTTTCTAAAAGTATGGACCTCCTCATATGCATATTTAGAATCTGTATATATAGTCCCACTTTTCCCCTTTAATAGTTCCAGAGCCCTACATAGGGCATACAGCTCACAAGCCTGAGCTGACCATGATGGGCTCAAAGGTCCTGATTCTACAGGTTCTAGGTCCTTATTAATTATTGCATATCCTACATATCCCACATATGGTGCTTCTCCTTCCTCCAACTCAGTATCCCTTAAATCTGGCCTTACTTTAGTCTGGGTCTCAATTACCTCTAAACAGTTATGTTGTAATTCCTCCGATGGTTTTCCGAACAAAAATTGTGCTGGACTCTGAGCAGAGGTTACCCTCAGTTCTAAGTCAGGGGAGTCAATTAGTATTGCTTCATACTTTAGGATCCGGCTATCCGTTAACCATTTCTCTGCTTTCTGTTGTAAGACACTTCTGACATTGTGTGGAGTATACACCTTTAAAGGAGCACTAAAGGTAATCTTCCTAACTTCTTCTATTAATAATGCTGTA